GCTGTAGGAGGCCAGAAGGAAGCTAAGGTCCACTACCATGTCAATGCATCTCATAGCCATCCCTACCTTCTTGTTGACGGAGATGTCGCTGCAAGAGAGCTTCATGAGAGCCATGTGCTCACAGACAAAATGGCTGATGACGTTGGACCGGCAGAACCGCACCCGCGAAGCCAGGATCACCACGGGGCCAACGATGGAGAGACTCCGAACCAAGGAAGCAAAAGTGAGGAATGTCAATAGTCTGTTGGTCATGATGTCCGCGTAGCGCAGCGGGTGGCAAATGGCGACGTACCTGTCCAGCGCCATCATGAGAAGGATGTTGCAATCTAGGACAGTCGTAAAATAGAGGAAGAACATTTGCACGAGGCAGCCCGTCAAGGAGATGTGGCTGGCCTGGAACATGGAACTCAGCAGTGTTTTGGGAAGGATGGTTGAAGCCCCGCAGATGTTGACTGCAAAGAGCAGAGCGATGAGCAGGTACATTGGGGAGTGGAGACTCGCTTCTGCCCTCACAGTGTAGATCAGGACAGAGTTGGCTGTGACAATAAAAACAAACAAGGAGAAGAAAGGGATGGCGAGGAGATATCTGGATTCCTGGAGGCCCGGAAATGGAAGCAGGAGAAATTCAGTGTAGGAGGTGTTGGTCGTTCCATTCTGGCTGCCCAGTGTCATTCCCTGGTGTCTGTTCGGGTTGGAATAGGCAATGTCTGGTGGTACAAAGAAGAGAAGATGACACTTCAGGGGACTGCAAGAAGACAGACAGGGTAGTGAAGTCAGTGCCTTCTCTTTTGTTGTCATTCCTTGTCTCGGTCCAGATTGGTACCCTTAAGACAATATCCTGTGTCTTTTTAGAAGTTCCACAGCTAGTCTTGCTGTCTCTCTCAGCCAGTGATGTAGCTAGGACCCTACCTCTGTACCTCCTTTTCACTATCAAGTATGTTAGTTCCTCTTCTTCCTTGAGCCAGTGTGGTGTAGTGAATAAGGGCGCGGACTCTAATCTGGGAGAACCGGGTTCGATTCCCCACTCCTCCACTCGCACCTGGCTGGATGGCCTTCGGCAAGCCGTAGCTCTGATAAGAGCTGTTCTTGGAAAAGAGCAGTTTCTGTCAGAGTTCTCTCAGCCCCACCCACCTCACAGGGTGTCTGTTGTGGGGAGGGGAAGGGAAAGGAGTTTGTAAGCCGCTCTGAGACTCCCTTGGGCAGTGAAC